TGTGTTCACCCCCTCTCTCTCTCTGCCCTTCCCCCTCCTGCTCTTTGTCTCTCTCTTTGTCAAAAATAAAAATAAAAAATTAAAAAATTGTTAGTATTATTAACTTTGCTGTCATTACTATTTTTTCTTCACCCTCATGTTCCTTCCTTTTCTGGCTTCTTCTCAAAATGCTGGAGGCTTCTTTTTTGTCTCTCGTTTCTACTTAGGTCTCTGGCTCTTAAACATTTTTGACAGCAACTCAGTAAGAGATATATGTAACATCAGGACTCAACACACATATATTAAAAGGAAGGCACCAGGAGGACTGGGGTATTGTTGGTTTTGTTTCACTGCTGTATTCCAAATGCCTGGAAGTGTTCAGCAGAATATATTTACTGAATGACCAGTGCATGCTGATATATTCTACTCCATCCCTTTTTAATTCTAATTTACCTACTTTAATAAAAAACAGTGGTCATGATCCATTACACTGACTTTTTTTACCCACTTTTTAGTGGAAAACTGTTACCTGTGCTTTGGGCTGGGTCTTCATTCCTTCCATGAGGCACACTTCTGGATATGGACAGAGATAATTTGCTCTAAACACAAGGTGACAGAGAGCCTTCGAGTCCATCCTTGACTCATCGTTTTCTCTCATACCCACATCTATTTTGCGAGCAAATCTTTATGATTCTACCTCCAAAATACACCCAAAATTTGACCAGCTGCTATCAGCCTGGAGTCACTCACCATCACCCCTTGCCTGATTATTACATTAACTTCTAACTCTGCTCCTCTACAATTAATCCACAACACAGCATCCAGCAAGGTCCTTTTAAAAGATAAGTCAGATCACATCATTTCTCTGCTCAAACATTCTGTGTCTACTAGGGGGCATTTAGGGCAAAAGCTCTAAATATTGTCATTTACTCATTCTCAGCCATTGCTTTATTTTCTGCTGCATCCATTGCCACAGGGCCCCTTGGCTCTCACTTACCGCTTCTCTCTTGGCCCAACCATGCCAGCTTTCCCGTTGTTTCTAGAACACTCAGCTTGTCATATGTTAGAACCTTTGCATGGCCTATTAACTCTGCCTGGAGCTTTCTTCTCTAAATATCTACAAGGTCAACTTGTTCACCTTTATGTCTTTGTTCAAATGTCACCTTCTCGAGGAGGACTGATCTTATTCAAAATGGCAACCCACATCTCAATCTCCCACACTCACAATATTTTGCTTTTCTTCCCCAGTGCACTAGCATCTTCTAATTCAATGCCATTTTCCCTGTCACATGCCAGAATGTAAGCACCAAGGACAAAGAGCTCTGTCCATTTTCCTCACTGAAAACAATATGGGTTGAATAAACAGATGCCAAAAAAGTATTTCTTTAAGAATGAATGAAGCCTATGGGCACCTGGGTGGCTAAGTCCATTACACATCTTGCCTCTTGATTTTAGCTCAGGTCATGATCTCACAGTTCCAGAGATTGAGCGTCATGTAGGGCTCTGCGCAGAGAGCCTTCTTGGGGTTCTCTTTCTCTCTTTTCTGTCTCTGCACCTATCCCACTTATGTGAGCTCCCCCCACACATACTTCTCTCTCTCAAAATAAATAAATAAATTTTAAAAAAAGAATGAATGAAGCTTAGTGGTTTTTTTTTTTTTTGAAGAAAATCAATCAAATTTATTCTAGAATGAAAGTCCTGGCTAGAAATTACTTTTGCCTCTTTGTTGTGGGGGAAACATGCAGAGATAAAACAATAGAAGGAAATGAAAAACTGCACAAAATAATGGATAATGAAAAGCTGAAGTATGAGAAGACAGCAAACACGTATTATAAAGCATTTGCTGCATTTATTGGATTTATCATTGGCTACATACTACTCTAAGTAAGCAAATTTGCACAGTGGGTTTTTACTTGCCATTGTTATGAGGTAGCCCCTAAATCATGAACAGATTTTTAACTTTAAAACATAGACGATGACCCATACTGGTTAGCAGAATATCACACTCACAAACCAATCTTTTAAAGTAAGCTTTATATAGATCCTAGAGGAGTACTAAAGTAGGTAAAGTATTATATACAATCAACAGTCTTTAGAAAATTGGTAAGAGCCCAATTCTTCTCCATAATTATAAAGATGATCAATTCTTTAAATAACACTCTGCATAAATTTATCATATATCAATTGATATAATTCTTCCTTAAAAATCCTTAAAGCTTTTTATTTTTATTTAATTTTCTTAGGTGTATTTACTTTGAGAGAGAGAGAGGGAGAAGGAGATATCAGGGGAGGAGCAGAAAGAGAGAAAGAGAATCACAAGTAGGCTTCACACGGTCAGCATGGAGCCTAACGTGGGATTTGAACTCGCAAACCGTGAGATGATGATCTGAGTTGAAATCCAGAGTCAGACACAACTGACCGAGCCACCCAGGTGCCTCCCTCTTAAAATTTTTTTTATCAACAAACTTTTATCAATATAAAAACTTTTTTATCCAGAGAATCAAGTTGACCTTTAACTTGTTTTATGAAGTCCTAAGATTTTAGCAAAACAGACACTGCTTTTTCTATAAATTTGCAAAAACAAAATTTCTAAAACATTTCTCAAACATGCTGAAACAATACACACAACCTGAACACTATATAAAATTATAACTTAACATTTTACACCACTGATAAACTGATCTCATTTTATGTTGCTACACTTTCACTTTCTGAGCGTATCTTCTTCTTTTCAATTATTTGGAAAATTAATTGGAAATTAATTGGAAAATTGGGAAATTGGAATAAAACTGGAAAATTTCAAAAAATTGGAAAATGTCGGGGTTGCCCTATGAAAGTTGCTATGGTGAATAATAATATTGCTGTAGTACAATCTCTTTCAATTTGGTCCCTCTACAACAATAGGACTCAAATTTGAAACTGTGTAAATGAAGAAAAGAATTAAAGAAAAAAATATTTTAGTCTGGATATCTGTGTTGATCTTTCTCGAATGATCACTTGAAAAGGCAGAAATCGGGGCGCCTGGGTGGCGCAGTCGGTTAAGCGTCCGACTTCAGCCAGGTCACGATCTCGCGTGTCAGTGAGTTCGAGCCCCGCGTCAGGCTCTGGGCTGATGGCTCGGAGCCTGGAGCCTGTTTCCGATTCTGTGTCTCCCTCTCTCTCTGCCCCTCCCCCGTTCATGCTCTGTCTCTCTCTGTCCCAAAAATAAATAAAAAAAGTTGAAAAAAAATTTAGAAAAGGCAGAAATCTGTAAACGGTTGGTCCTTTGTTCTTCAATGCAGATTAGTAGCAGTCAAAGAAAGTGATTTGGAAGCAAGATTGAGGGGCACCTGGGGGGCTCAGTCGGTTAAGAATCTGACTCTTGATTACAGCTCAGGTCAAGATCTCACATTTCGTGAGATGGAGCCCTTATCTGGCTTCTCGCTGACAGTGTGGAGCCTGCTTGGGATTCTCTTTCCCTCTCTCTCTGCTCCACCCATGCTCCTGCTCTCTCTTAATAAATAAACAAGTTTTAAAAACGAAACAAAACAAAAAAGCAAGACTGAGACATTAAAAAGGAACACCCACTTTGAAAAACCAAAAACTTTACTTTAAAAGGTAGAGGTTTTAATTTATAATCTCTGATTTATGAACTTTTTTTGCCATAGATTTTCATTTAAATATTTGAAGAATGTTTTAAGTCTGACATGAGAGCTCAAGACTTGCATGTCTTCAAGTAACACGTGTTTTATTTGACAATGCATTTGGGGTGCCTGGGTGGCTCAGTCGGTTGAGCGTCCAACTTCAACTTAGGTCATGATCTCACAGTCTGTGAGTTCAAGCCCGGCATCAGGCTCTGTGCTGACAGCTCAGAGCCTGGAACCTGCTTCAGATTCTGTGTCTCCCTCTCTCTCTGACCCTCCCCTGCTCATGCTCTCTCTCTGTCTCAAAGATAAATAAAAACATTAAAACAAAAACCAAAAACAATGCATTTGGCCTCATTCCACACCAATTTGTCTTCTTAGAAAGGAAAAATGACAGCCTGCTTTTTTAATTAGTTTCTTTAGGTATCATAAAGAAACTGTGTTTAGGTAGAAAATCGGTTGTCTTCTCAGGAGATGGGTGCTGAGCTTTTTAGGGGTAAGAGGTGATGGCCCCTGTAACTTATTTTCAGATGGGTTAGCCAAATAAATAAAGGAAACACATACACACACACACACACACACACACACACACACACACACACTTATACACATATGCACAGAATACATTAAAATGGCACAATATTCAAATATGGAAAATATAAATGGTGCATATGTGTGTATTCATTACACTATTCCTTCAACTTCGTAGGTGCTGGTTAGCACCTTTATAGGTGCAAAGAAGGAAAATGATAAAAGAAACAAAAAAAAAAAACTAATTGTGGTATATATACCACTCTATTTTAAAAAATCCTTCTCTAACTTTGCCACTCCTCTAGAAAATAAAAAAAAAAAGGAAAGGTCAAATAATTTACAGTAGATACTTTTGTATGATAGATACGAGATTATCCGTTTTTGTACTTTGTTCTAGATTTTAAATTTCCCCAAAATTAAAAAAAAATAGCTTATGTTAATTTTTGATCCCTAAAATAAGTTATTTGCTAAAGTAAAAATCATATTGTTTTTAAGATTAGATATGAAAATGCTGGCGTTTAAAACTTATTTTCTCCTTTGTATATGAGAGATTACAAATTTTAGCTCCTTTTGCGAAAAAAGTCATGAATTAACATTCTCAAATTCTGATTAGCTCTTCAATCATACTACTATAGTAGGTCTATATTCTTAGGTGTCATTATATTTGCTATGGGGATAAAATGTCTTGCAAAAACGGGGGGTATGGAAAGAGAATCCAATTTTCAGAAGGAATGAAAATTTTCCTTCTGGGAAAAATATTTGTTTTCTTTGCTACTGGTCGAGTATTATTTCAACATTTAAAACTTATTTAACATAGGACTCAAGTAGAGTTCCAACCTCAATTTAGAAAATACAGCTTATTGTTACCTCCTAGGCAGCCAATGAATGAAAGCAGGATCAAGTGTTTCCATGACAACATCATCTTTAATTGCCAAAAGCAAGAGTAACTCTTGTCCAGTCTCTGATGAACAGAATGCTTTGTCTTCAGGTAAATCCTTTAATCTGTAAAATATATGTACAAAGAAGTTAGGCTTAAAAAAAACCATACTGCTTTTAAAAATAGATTTTCTTCTTTTCGTAAAACTATATTCATCACGGTCACTCAAAATTCTGAAATGAACTGAATCTGTTTTGATACAAAAGAGATGAAGTGTAGAGACTTTAAAAACACTTTATATAATGGATATGCAGATAGAAGCAGCTTCACAGAATTATAGATGTTCACAATACTAAAATATTAAATATTAACATAATAAATATTACAACTTTTGATAGATAATAATTAGAACAAATAACATATTACCCTAAAATTCTAACTTTTCTCATTTTCTCTAATGATAACATTTTGGTGAAACTAAGAGTCAAATCAGCAAACATCTTAAAGCACCATTTGCAGTGTCTCTAAATCCCTAATAAGATATATAAATTATAAATAGCATTATCAATACTCAAATTAAGCCTGTTTTTCAGATACAATTGCAGAAATCCCCTAATTACATATGCTACATAAAACAGATCCAAAAATGTGAACGGTGGAAATTGTTTAGCTGAGAATCTTGCAAATGAAATGATTTTCTTCTTTCTTGATTTCTCATAAACTTCAATGTGCTGACTGAGAGAAAATAATTATCTGAATACCCTGTGTCACTTTCAGTGGCCATTTGACACTAGTTAATGTTATAGTTAATGATCAAGTAAGCTAGATATGCACACCTAAAATTGGAGAATCTTTTCTGGACTGCTGACACTCAGCTGGTTCCACACAGGGGAATTAATGACTTTGACTATCATCCACATTAACAGAAAAGGTGTACAACTGTGATTCAGTAGCTGCTATGAATTGAGCGATATTACTTGTTGCTGAGCAAGAGAGAAAATGTCAGCTTTCTTAAGACAATGGTGGTTTATCATGGGATCCTGACATGCACTGTGATGTATTCAGTAAGAATGAAGTGTGTCCAAATAATAACAATGCCAAGAGTGAAAATGTGATAACCTGTAAGTTACATACTTAAAATAATATATTAAATCAGTCATTCCTCTAGTGGTATTCTTATGCACTTGTAATCTAATATATGTTCTTGGGCGGGATGTAAGTGGTGGAAACACAACAAAAATGCCAGAATTTAAGTATGACTTGATCCATGGGAATCTGAAACAGGTGGAAATACAATTGTTCTAAGAACTGCAGGTGAGTAACTTACTGTATCATGGTATCTATGACCATCTATCACTTGCCCCATTACTACCAACTGCTTGTGTCTTGGGTTCCCCTAATGCAAACATTGCTAAATGAATTCAAGTGCAAGCAGTCTACCTGGGTGGTGAAAGACAAAAAGAGTCAGGGTATGAAGCAATAAGACAGGGGAAGAAGGCAGCCAATAAAGGGTAAGAAATAAAATCACTGATCCTTGTGTAGGACTAGAGCTCACTCTCACTGGGGAGACTCTGGAGGTCCAGCCCAGGCAGAATAGATGCCACAGAGTCATCCAACAGTTATCATGGAGTTGCCCAGAGCTATCCTTGCCCAGGGACAAGGGAGCTGGGGTACTTATACACCAGTCCCCATTAGTCACTGTTTGGAGGCTATCCTCAGGGAGTATTAATTACCCAACACTTCTAATCTGTCCCTGGGAGAGCAAAATGGCTCCACTGCTAAAAACATGCCTTCAGGTAAAGAAATGTATATGGTGACAAGTGGAAGTGGTGTGTGCATTGACATGATAAAAAAACTAGACAGTATGTCTGGGGAAGGCATGTCACAGCAGGCACATGAACCTGAAAGTTTTTGAAGCCATTTTCAATACTATCAGACCCCAAAAGACTGATGGCTGAAATTACTCAATGATTTAAGCATACAAGTGGAGATACACGTTCTGTCCCCATCAATCATTACACTTCTCAAGTATTTCCAGTGATTGAGTTTCCCTACTTGGATCAAAGGCTTTCCGATACCGAGCCTTCCTTCTTTTATTTCTTCTCAATCAGTTGTGCATTTTGTGTCCGTGATTGTTTTCAGTTACTAACTTGAATGATAACTTAAATCATTCTAGATTACAGGTAACTTATAACTGACAACTATAAACACCATAATCATGCATATGAGGAAAGTAGTCCAGAAATAATGAGAAGGTAACACAAACTACACAAATGCACACACATATACACATGTACGTGCACACACATAAAGCAGAAAAGGAAGAAATAAACTATCAAATAAAATAGAATGACAGTCACAAAAGAGGTTGGAACATGAAGTGCAGTAATATTATACACGATGTGTCGAAGATTCATAAAACGTTTTGGAGTGATTGCAAGATGTATTAAAGTCTGGAAACAGTGGGTAAGTCTTGAAAACAGGAAGGGCTTGAGGAGTATAACAGTAATTGAATTGCTATCTCCTCCTTTGAGGAGTTAAAGCTATCCAGTTTATACACGAAATCTAACTTGGAAAGCATTTGTTAATAACAAAGTAACAGATGTAAAAAGTACAAGTAGTTGGAATTTTCAGGAAAAAAAAAAAGACAAACTTTAGCAAAGCATCCTGTAGTACCATCAACATAATCATTATTAAAAAGCATCCAAGGTCACCTGGATGGCTCAGTCAGTAGAGCATGCAACTCTTGATCTCAGGGTTGTGAGTTTAAGCCCCAAGTTGAGTTTTAAAAAATCCACATATATATGAGAGGCTTTGCTCTATGCCATATAGCGAACAAAATAAATGGCCTCTGTTCTGACATTGCAATGGAGAAATAAAATGTTCTAAATACTTGTAATTCGGGTAAGGAGAAAATTACTAGACTGATAACTCTCTGAAGGTAGGACAGTAGCTCATTCATCATTGGTTGCTCCAATGTTCCAAATATCCTGTATATATAGTAGTAGCTTTCAAGTTTTAAGTTTTAATGTTTCTTGCTGAGCTTTAAGAACAATGAATAATTCAACTCAGGAGATTAAATCTTTGTACCGGACATCAAGTGAGTGAAAGCATTTCTACTAGAACGAAAAGATAAGTCACAGCTTGGGATCTAGCCACTGTTTGAAAATCATTTCCGGAAAATGTATTTAAAGGCATTAAAAAGATGGCAACTTAAAAAAAAAAGTTATCTTCCCAACATCACATCCCCAAAGTAACATGCATCTCTGCTGCATTTTAAAAGTATAAATGTGTTCAAAGAAGTTCTATAAAGTCTTTTTTGTAAACTCATTCATTCAACAAATATTTATTGAGCACCTATTAGAGGTTGGAATTTCAATTCTCAAGGAAGACACAGTGGGGACTGGGTTGTCAGATAATTCCATGATTCCTGCCCTCAGGAATTCCTGCCCATAACCTAAAGGGAGTGAAACAGGATTCAAATAATTACAAAGTATTTGTAAACAAGACACTATGGAAGGTATAATGCAGAAGTAGAAGTTTTTATGAAAGACTCAATGACAATGGCCCCCTTCAGCAAGGTCAGGGAAAGGTCCTCTGAAGAAATGAGAAAAGAAGAGACTATATAATCAGAGTTGTGATTTTTCAGCTATAGACAAATACTTGGTATGGCTTTGAGATGGTAAGGAGGCAGGTGAGTAGTCACTTTCTGGACCTTGTCCGATCACCTATCACCTCATCTCCCAAGAACTTCCCTAGAACCCCACCCCAACACCCTGGATCCACAACCTAAAGGGTTAATACCTGGCTCTGCAGGGGGCTTCCAGAATCCTGCTCTAGCCCATGTCACTTGTGATTGGTCAGTGCCCATGCCCTACTGCTGGTTACATATTTTGGCACTCATCTCTGGACATGAGGAACAGAATATGCAAAGGCCTTGGGTCTTAAGGGTTCATGGCTTGTTGTTAAAACGAAAAGAAAGCTAACGAGATCAAATGCAGGCGGCCAGGTTGAGTGTGGTATAAAATGAGACTGCAGATATATAATGCCTGGCTATAGACCTTCTTTGCTGGGCTAAGAATATTAGTATCAAGATAAAGCCCTTTGAAAAGTCACTGCAGTGTTAACCAGTAATTGCCATGATAGGATTTGTAGCAAACATTCAAATCAGACATATTGTAGCCTGTATCAGGCTTAAAAGGATGAAAAGAAAACATTTTGCAACATGCCAGTTTCATTCTTACCTTCAAATTCATAGAAATCAGAGGCTGGGCAATATTAGGCAATCTATCTGATGTAAGAGAAGCAAAACATATATCCTAATATTCTTTTATATGCACACACACACACACACAAAGAAATACACTGTATAAGGTTTGGAGATAAAACATCATTCAGGACCATTATTTTTAAAAATGACGTTGCCCATTTTTAATGAGTGCTAAAGTAGGGCATTAACTTTATAAATAATGAGAGTAATTAATACAATCATGACCTGACTTCTCATCATTGCCAAGTATTGTTACAGAGAGAAGGGACATATAAAATCTTGTCCTACTTGTGAAATCACCAAGCTAAAATAAATACAAAGGAAGCTACTTAAGCAAGACAAATACAAATCACAATGTCATCTGCCATATTAGGAATATTCAACCAGTAAAGGAATGCTTTAAATCAAAGAAAAAATAGATAGCCTTTAGAATTTTCTCTAGTAGGCATTTGCATCTGGGGGCAACAGCTTAATATACTGACAACACGTTTCTCATGGCAATCTTTAAATAGCCCCCAAATTCAGTACATATTGACAACTGTACTATCTATTCTTAATGTCAGCTGAGCTAAAAAATGCTAGACCTTGGACTCAAAACCAAAAATGCTTTAAATAGTTGTTCCTGGTTGCTCTAAAAGAAGAGGCCATTTGTGGCTTTTGTCATATACTTTATGAAATTGCTACTAAGATTGCAGATCATGAAATATTGATATATGTTTACAATATTAAAAGTATATGAGCAACTTTGAATGTACTCTTGGCAAATGCTCATAGTTAAGTTTCTTTATGTGGTGGAAGTTTAGGCGTGAGAATGATCTGGCTTCATTTGTATCAGAGTAATAGGCACCAAATGAG